CCAGGCTCAGCACGCTCAGCACCTCGCGCAGGACCAGAGTCAACAGCTACCTCGACAGGCTCGACCGGGTCTACTTGGGACACACCTGAGGGAGCACCACCCTGGGGAGGGAGGGGGTCTACCGACGGGACACCTGGGGTGAGGAAGAGCGGCGGGGGGGGGAGCGGGGCAGTGCGGTAGGGGAAGAGACGGTAAAAGGGTACCGACTCGTCAAAGGTGACGTCCTGAGAGGCGAAGACACGGCGCGAGGTGGGGTGGTAAAACTGCCAGCCAGGTGCGTCCGGGACAAAGCCAAGGAAGACACAGGGAACGGCACGGGAGGAGAGCTTGTCCGCGAACGTATCACGGACAAAGGCTCGACATCCCCAGACTCGGAACACCGACGCATCGCCAACCTTCCCCGTCCAACGCAGGGTAGGCGAGGTCTCCGGAACAGAGACACGGGGCCAGAGGTTGAGCTGATGCGCGGCGTACTGCACTGCAAACGGCCACAGGAAATGGGGGGCAGCCGCATGGATCATGGAGGTACGAGCGACCTCCATGACTAGACCAATGCGGCGCTCAGCAACCCCATTCTGCTGCGGAGAGGCCGGGAGAGTGAACGTCTGGCGGATGCCGTGCTCCGCACAGTAGGCTGCCAAGAGGTCAGAGGAAAACTCGCCACCTCTGTCAGAGTGCAGACGTAGGACAGGAAAGTCCGACTGGAACCGCTCGCGGAGCTGGAGACGAGCAGCGCGGATCCAGGGGATCAAGACATCAGGGACCTCACCCTTGGTACGCAAGGGGAAGACCGTGGTGTAGCGCGTGTAGTCGTCGACGACCAGCAGAAAGTACCGCTCGTGGCCAAGTCCCCGGACGCGGGCGGGGCCCCACACGTCCAGGTGGAGAGTCTGCAGGGGAGCCTCTGTGGGAGGGAACGAGGAGGAGTGAGGAGCGGCGCGCTGCCGCTCCTCGACACAGGGAAGATAGGGAGGAGCAGGCGAGGGTGGGAGGGGAGGGAGAACCCTGGGAAGACCAGAGACAAGGTACCTGGAGTGCATGCCGCGAAGGCGCTGCACTGACAGGTGACCAAGGCGGTGGTGCCAGAGGACAGTCCGGTGCGACAGGGAGCGACACGAGCAGGGGGCCGACAGCTGACCTGACGCAGACGCAGACGCAGCTACCTGACGGGACTCAGTGGTCAGTGTGTACAAGTCCGACCCCGGCTGCCGAGTGAAGGTAGCCAGGTGACGACCCGTCTGGGCACACGTGCAGTGTGTCACACGCTCGTAGGCAGGGGTGAACTGGTGAACACCCGCATCCTGGAGCGCGGAACCCGCCACCAAGTTCGTAGAGAACGAGGGGAGGTAGAGGCCCGACAGCGTGCCAGACGGGACAGTAGGACAAGGAAGGGCAGTGGTGGAGGTCGCAAGGACCGGACCCCCAGAGGGGTCAGCCAGAGAGACAGCAACCGGTCTAGGAAGCTGCTCTAGGGCAGTGCGGTCGCGAAAGAAACAGCGAGAAGCACCTGAGTCCAGTGTGAAGGTGTGCAGTGCCTCAGTACGTGCGGTACCAGCAGACGCAGACGCACTAGCACCTAGGGCAGCAGCCTCACCAGGACCTAGAGCAGCAGACGCACTAGCACCTAGAGCTGCAGCCTCACTGGTCTCAATACCCGGGTCGGGCGGTACACTCAGGTAACAGTCACCCTCAACACTAATATTCAATGCATACATATCAGCAAGGATAGCATCATAATCAAGAGCAAAGATGTCAATCCCTTTCTTAAGCAGATCAGCCCAGCGGGGCAGCTCAGAGGCGTCAGGAAACTGCTCGCGCCAGGCGTCGTCTAGGCGAAAGAAACAGCGCTGTGCCGTGTGAAACCTCCCACAGGTCTGGCCAGTGCGGTCACCTGTGCGGATGACGTACGGGCAGGTACCTCCACCCCCAGAACCCCCACGCTAAGAGTACCACTCACGGAGCTGCTGGGGCGACGGGGTCTCACTGGGACGCTGCTGCTGCTGCTTGTGGCCGCCGCCGAGCCCGCCACGCTGCACCGCTCCACCGCGCCCTCCACCAGCTCCACCGCCGCCACCACCGCCACCACCACCCCCGCCACCTCCACCACCGCCGCCTCCACCACCCCCGGCTCCGCCACCGCCCCCCCCACCACCAGCACCACTCCCACCACCGCCGCCACCGCCGCCGCCCCCTCCACCCCCTCCACCACTACCTCCCCCGCCGCCACCTCCGCCACCCCGCCCCCCCTTTCCCCTGCCGCCCTTGCGCCGCCCACTGGGAGCGTACGCAGCTCCGACCCCCTCAGCACCTAGGAAGTCGACAGCAGCAGCAGATGCAATGGAGGGGAGAAGGGGGGAGGGGGAACATCCCTCAAAGAAGGGAGTGCGAGGGTCGCCACGAGAGGCACCTACAGTTACAATACTCTTCTCAGCTGCAAGGAGTTCCTTCTCGAGTAGGTCGACAGTGAGGTCTGTGGGGGAGAGAGCGAGAAAGTGGTCCCTGACAGCGCGAAGAGAGTGAGGGAGGCGAGTGACTAGGTGGTAGAGGGTGAGGTACATCGGGGGGGGGTTCTTGGCTAGGAAATCGGGGGGGAGCGCGGCACGGTAGCGGAGATCACTAGTACGGAGGTGAGTGATGAGGTCTGCTACAGTGGCAAAGGCAGACAGATCTGGGAAGAGATAGGGCAGTGAGAGACGGCCTATCGCAGCAGTAGCAGGGGAGGAGTAGCGTGCAACTACAGCATCGTACAGCTCCTTAGCGGTCTTATGCTGGCCGAAGTGCTCGCGCTCATCTAACGGCAGGTGACTGCAAACGGCTAGGCGAGCATGGGCGTCACGAGTCTGCCACAGTGAGCGAGCAGTACTGTCAGCAGTAGCAGCAGGTGCAGGGCCAGCGCCGGACGTGTGGTCATATAGGGAAACGTCGTCCTTGGCAGTGATCTGGAGGAACAGGTGTAGGTCATCTAGCCAGGCATCAAACTTAATCGGTCGGCCCTCAGTGTCAAAAGTGAGAACAGTAGGACTGGCCATAGTGGCAGTAGCAGTAGCAGCAGTAGCAGTAGCAGTAGCAGCAGTAGCAGTAGCAGTAGCAGCGGTAGCAGTAGGAACAGGAACAGTAGTTGCGGCAGGTGGGGCGGCGCGGCTCGGTCAGGGCGGCGCGATTCGGGCGGCGCGACTCGGGCGGCGCGGCTCGGGCATGTAGGGCGGCGCGACGGCGGGCCTATGCCCTGTGCTAGGCGGCGGCCTACGAGGGGGCGGCGGCCTACGCGGTGGCAGCAGCTGACGCGCGGGCGGCGACCTACTCGTGGGCGGCGGCCTTCGTGGGCTGGGCGGCGGCCTACGCGGCAGTCGACGGGCAGCGCGCACGCTGCTCTAGGGGTCGCGCGAGGCCAGGGCGGGCTACGCGTGGGCGGCGTCGACGGCGTGGGCGGCTACCTGGTCGCGCGCACGTGAAACGGGCCGCGCGCGGGCGGCTAGCGGGCTGCGCGGGCAAAAAACGGGCCGCGCGCGGGCGACTAGCGGGCGACGCGGCCGAAAAAGCGGGGCGCTCGAGGGCGCACTAGGAGTGAGGCGCACGAGGGCGCGATTAGGAGAAGGCGCACGAGGGCGCAACTAGCAGAACGATGGGCCCTTAGGTAAGTGGTCCTAGGTCTAGGACCTACGCTCTTAATACCATGTCAGAAACAAGAAGTGTTGAACTAGAAAGATTTTGGAGTACAAGTAGGAAACCCTAGAGAAGTGTACCCCCTAAAGGCTAACCCACTGTAGCCTACACAACAGAAACATATATAATGTTTGACACCCATGACCCCGAATCCCGACAACCCGGTGCCACGAGCACAAAAGTTCGCCGAAATTTTACAAGCAGCACGGACCCGGGCAGTAGACGCAATAAAAAAATCGAACATCATCGCTAAACGTAACGCCGACCGCCACCGCCGACCTGTCACTTACCAACCTGACGACCTAGTTTTACTCGACACTCAGAACCTCCGCCTGCCCATCACCCCAAAACTCCGCCCCCGATATTGCGGGCCATTTCGCATAAGCCACATGATTACACCGTCACCGCCCATCTCCTCCTCCCCGCTGACTGGTACGTCAGCCCGTCCTTCCACGTCAGCCTACTTCGCCCCTACATACCGTCCACAAGCCAACTACCACGTAATCGCCCAGCCAGTATGACACGACCGCCGACTGAACCAATCATCACACCCGAGAAAATTCAGAGCCACAGAGTTCGTGACCCTCGAGGAGCCCGAAGGATCGAGTTCCTGATCCGCTGGAAAGACCGTACACCCACCGAAGACAACTGGGTTCCCCTGGACAGAGTCGAAAACCACCCCGTCCTCACAGAGTATCTGCGCAGCCGAAACTTCAGGGACGTACACGCGCTTTCGTAAGGAGGACCTCCTTAGGGGGGGGGGGTAGTGTAAGGAAAATTCATTTTCCTACTTCGCGTCCCCGTTCAGCGCGTACACCACACTAGCACCACAGTCAGCACCGTTACCACTCGCAGCCCTCGCATCGACAATCCTCCCGCCACCTTCGCACGTCGCACCCCGACCTCACGGCTTGGCGGGTAACCCGCGCACCGGACCTCCGCTTCGACATTTCCCCAAACCTTAGTCCCAGGCCCGTCGCGCGACAACCATAGTCCATTACCGTTACCACTGTAGTTTCGCTATATATTCTTCGCTCATGTCTTCGCTCATTGTATTCTTGCTTCGATAGTGCAATTCTCGCTCGATCACTCAATTGTACTCGTAACATACACCCTTCCTTTCTCCTTTCATATAAATAATTAGGACTCTTTTAGTACACCACACCCATCATTTAGACCATTGTTGAAAAGTAGTCATGATTCTTTTCTGACTTGTCCAATACATACCACAATTGATTTTACCAAATACTACAATCGTGTCTATACATCAGATAACTTAATAAATAGTATGATTTTGATATATGTGGCTTTGAAGCGAAACAAAGCTGCATGCGGAATCATGTAGAAAAGGGCTTGAAGGTGAGTGCGAAAGTGCGGATCTCCAATGGCCCCAATTCCACCACCAGCTGCTGCGGATCCACCTTCCCCCCATACACCGGCCTCTCAGATGACACCTCCCCTGGTGCACCCTGTGTTGATGCTGTCGTCTCCTCCCGCCATACCATTGGCGGGCGCATGTCTGCCTTCTTCTGATTGGCCGTCAAGCTGAGCTCTGTGAGAGAGATGATCTGTGGGGATGGAACCAGGGCAATGGTGGAAAGACAGAGGGATGGAACAGAGTGATTTGGGCGCTGGGTGGGAGGAAGGGGGGTGTATAAGATGGAGAGAATGCAGTGGTTGCTGATCGTTGGTAGGAAGACAAGTGTGAGTGCAGCACGGCATTGTGCATGGATGGAAGGATGGAGGAGCACATGCTTGTGGCTGCACCGCTTCTAGTGGGCGGGGGCACATGCACGCAAGCACACACATGGTCAAGGTGCATGCTGAGACATGCCGAGACATGCTGAGACATGCCGAGACATGCTGAGACATGCTGAGACATGCTGAGACATGCTGAGACATGCTGAGACATGCTGAGACATGCTGAGACATGCTGAGACATGCTGAGACATGCTGAGACATGCCGAGACATGCCGAGACATGCCGAGACATGCCGAGACATGCTGAGACATGCTGAGACATGCTGAGACATGCTGAGACATGCTGAGACATGCTGAGACATGCTGAGACATGCTGAGACATGCTAAGACATGCCGAGACATGCTGAGACATGCTGAGACATGCTGAGACATGCTGAGACATGCTGAGACATGCTGAGACATGCTGAGACATGCTGAGACATGCTGAGACATGCTGAGACATGCTGAGACATGCACACCTGTCTGGAAGCAAAGAGCTGTCGCAGGGGCACAGAGGCCATGGTGGATAGAGAGGGATGCTCCTTGGCCTGATGGCAGCCCATGGGGTGGGTGGGGGGATGAGAGAAGGGGGAGAAGGGACGAAGGAGGGACGCAGAAGGAAATGGAAGGAACACGTGACGTGAAAGCAAAGCACAGATGCATGAGCGAGGTAAGAAACTGTGCCCAGCAACAGGTGCAGGAATGTCTTAGGAATTAGACACAGTGGATGCTGTGGGTGGGACACTGAGATTCCGCACAAGCCAAGGAGATTGGAGTGGAGAGAGTGAAGGAGAGAGCGAGTGTGTCTGAGTAAGACAGAGAGTGGGGGATGGGGTTGCCGAGGGAAAGTGGGCGGGAGGGTGCGGAGGAGGTAAAGGCAGCAGGTGAAGGCAGCAGGTTTGGAGAGCAGGTGCGGGGCAGCAGGTGCGGTGCAGGGCAGCAGGTGCGGGGCAGCAGGTGCGGGGCAGCAGGTGCGGTGGAGGAGCAGAGACCTCATAGAGATGAGCGAGGCGCAGCAGCAGGTGGTTGCGGGAGAGCTCCTGCATGGAGATGACCGCCACGTTGGGCGGCAGCGAGTACAGGCCCCCCGCCTGCATGTCGCCCTCCCCGCCCTCGCCACTCAGGGAGTACCGCCACCTCAGCCGCCCTGCTGCTGCTGCCAGTGCCTCCGGGTTCTGCACGGGGGCGTGCGGAGGTGGGTGGGGGGATGTGGGGTTGGGCGCCAGTGTGTGGCGGCGAGTGCATGGGGATGTGGTGAGTGTGTGGGTGGGTGTAACGTGGTGTGTAGTGTGGGTGAGGTGGCAGTTGCAAGGGAGGAAAAGGGAGTGGGGGAAGCAGGCGAGGCAAACGAAACAACTCGCATGGTAAGGAGACAGAGAACATGGTCGTGACGGGAAATATCAGGCGGGAAGTTGAGAGTGCAGATCATGAATGGAGTCTCAACAGATACTGCTTCCACCGAGCTGGTGCCATCAATGGTCTTTGATTTGATACGGAGGGCCACGGTGCGTCGGGGGGACCTTATCTTCATAAGTCTCAAAGACGGCCTTTTCTTATTTGTTGCGCAAGCAGCACATGCAAGTCGCAACTACCTCGACTGCAAAGGTCAGCTGTAGAGGTGTCAGCAGGCGCTGCGCGTGCTCTCTTCTCCACTGTGCCGCCTCCTCCCCTCCCTGCCACTCCTCCTTCCCCCCCCCACCCGACGGGGCAGCAATTGTAGGGGAGCCGTCAGTGTTAGGGACAGCATCGGCAGCAGCCGCAGCACCACCACCACCACCACCAGCATCAGCGCCGGCAGCAGCAGCAGAAGCAGCAGCAGCAGCAGCAGCAGCGTCAGCAACAGCAGCCGCAGCAATGGGAACTTTCCTCCTCCCCGGGTGCAGCGCAAAGCGGATGGAACCAACAACCTGGGAGACATACACATGCAGGGTAGAGAATGGGTGGGTGCATGGCAGCGTGGGTGCATGGCAGCGTGGTTGCATGGCAGCGTGGGTGCATGGCAGCGTGGTTGCATGGCAGCTTGGAAAAGGCAAAACACAGAAGCTGTGTTCGTTGGAGTTGTGAAGGCGGATGTGTTACGAGCTCTACTGGCCGTAGCAGGCGTAGGGTAGAAAGAAAGAGCAGAGGTGAAACGAGGGGGAGCAAGGGGCCTAGGTAAGGAAAGGACGGATGCAAAGAGGTTTGTGTTCCTGATTGCGTGTGCATGCTTGCTATTGCATGTCTGTATTTGCACATGCGCTTGTGCATGTGCATGTGCATGTGCATGTGCATGCGTTTGCATGTGGGCGTTTGTGTGTGTGTGTGTGCGCGCATGCGACATACAGCGAGGGGTTCGCACTGGCCGTTATTGATGCAGACGGTCTCCTTGAGCACCTCCGCCACGCCCTTGCCGTCGTCCATCTGCAGGCGCCTGCCATGCCATGCACCGTGCGTGGGCGTGGGGGTGATGCGCATGGAACGTGGGGGAAGGGACGTGGAAAGTGGGGCGAGGCACATGGAAAGTGGAAAGTGGGGATGGGAGAGTGGGGAGGGGGGAGTGGGGAGGGGGGAGTGGGGAGGGGGGAGTGGGGAGGGGGGATTGGGGAGGGGGGAGTGGGGAGGGGGGGGTGGGGAGGGGGACGTGAGGAGTGGGGAATGGGCAAGGGGGTTGAGGAGTGGGGAGGGGTGAATGGGGAGGGGGGAGTGGGGAGTCGAGAGTGGGGAGTGGAGAGTGGGGTGTGGGGAGTGGGGTGTGGGGAGTGTGGAGGCAGAGTGGTGTATAAGGTGAGGCATGGGGCGGTGGGATGGGATCGAGATGGTGCTGTACTGAGGTTGACTGTGGACAAGAGCCCATGTGATCCACACCGTGATGAGTCCATTTCTGAGTCGACTCTAAAAAAATACAATAGCCCATCTGATCCACACCATTGCACTGCACCGCCTATCCCCTCCTGCCTCCCCTCCTCCCCCTGCCTACCTCCTTTCCGCGCTAGCCTCTTTCTGCAGCCACGCTTTCACAAAACCATGCAGCATCACCATCCCCACATGTGCATCACCATCCCCACATGTGCAGCACCACCCCCACTTCTGCATCACCACCCCCACCTGTGCAGCATGACCTCCAGCTGTCCATCGGCCAGGCTGCTGGCCCCCAGAGCACGGTCCACCAGCACTGACAGCTGCACGCTGGGGTCCCCCATGTGCGCACCGCTAGTCAGCTGAGGGGGGCAGCAGGGGGAGGTTATCGGTGGGTCACGTTTGACGATTGAAATACATGATCTCCAGCTGCCCGTCAGCCAGGCTGCTTGCCCCCAGCCCCAGGGCACCTCCCACCAGCACTGACAGCTGCGCGCTGGGGTCCCCCATGTGCGCACCGCACGTCAGCTGGGGGGACAGGGGAGGGGATATGGGTGGGTCCGCCTGACTGACTTTAGAGAATTCTCAAGCATCTAGCTGCGCGTCCGCCATTCTACTGCCCCCCCCCAGCCCCAAGGCACGGCCCACCAGCACTGACAGCTGCGCGCTGGGGGGAGGGAGCTGGGGGGAGCAGCGGGGGGAGGGAGGTTATGGGTGTTGGACGAGGGGAATAGAAGGAAGTGGCGGTCGAGAGCTTTGGGTTTGGGAGTTGGGAGTTGGAGGGTAGGGCTGTTGAAAAGAGGATAGTGGGGATGAGAGGGCAAAGTGCGAAGTGCGTCCTTCACCTGCAATTGCAAGCCCATAAATGTGCTGCACATGTGGATGTGCAAATGCATGTGCAGTCGCATGTGCATTTGCATGTCCATGTGCATGTGTATGCGCAGGTGCATTTGCATATGCAGGTGCAGGTGCATTTGCATGTGCAGGTGCAGGTGCAGGTGCCATACCGGGTAGTAATTGCCTGCGATGGGATGTGAGACTGGTTCCGTTGCGTCATATGGGTAGTTGCGGACCTGAGGCACCAGCAGCAGCAGCAGCAGCAGCACACCACAATCAGCGAAGCAAGAAAACAGGGAGAAAGGTGAGAAAATTGCAGGAGAGAGAAGAAAGGCGTAGGGATGCAGCAGGAGAGCGCAAGCAGGCGTGCTGTGTGAGGTTGCATGCGCGCACGCGCGTGCGTGCGTGCGTGCGTGCATGTGATGATGGTACGCACACGAGTCATGTAGTCTCGGCCGTTAGAATCGGTGTAGAAGGTGGAGTTGGAGCGGATTGTGGAGTCAAAGCGAGTGATGTACTCCCTGCCCACCGCATCCCTCTCATCCATGCCCACCTGCTCTCCACACCACCGCCCCCACCCACCCACCCACCCACCAACTCGCACACCCGCCCACCCGCGCACCCCCCCCCACCCACCCACCCACCCATCCGCCCGCCCACCCACGCGCCCACACATCCGCACACCCACCACAGCACCACGCTCATCCCACGGCCACCCACGGAAGCCCACAGCAAGGCACAACGTTTTAAAACACAAGACATGGCAAGGCAAGGTACACAGAACAGCGGCCAGAGACACATGCACCCAGGAGAAGAGAACAGAGAGGGGAAAGAGTTCAAGAGACAACGGTGGACGAGCAAGAATCTGCCTGAGTGCTTCTTGGCGTGCAAAAGCCTGAGGAGGCGGCAGGAGAAGGGATTTCGTTTAAGGATGTTGGAAACGATCGTCACTCGCTGTAGGTGCTGCAAGTCTGTTGAGAAGGACCGTGCTAGGTCGCAAAGGGTTTTAACTTGGTTGGATGAGAGGTAAAACGACAAACAACAAAGGATGGGTTTTTCAGGAGGAGAAAAGCCCGTGTACTCATGAAAAGCCCAGGAAGGGAGCCTTCCCTTCCACAAACCCACAAAACAGCCCACCCACCCACCCACCCACCCACCCACCCACCCACCCACCCACCCACCGACCCACCCACGCATCCACCCACTCCCCCACGCACCAAACCACTCCCCCACCCACGCCACCAACCATGTAATGCAGTTCGGCATAGTCCTTCCCCGGATACACTCTGAACACCTGGATTGCGGAGAGAGGCGAGGGGGGGAGGGAGAGGGGGGGGGGGGGGGGGGGGGGGGGGGGGGGAACAACGACCATGTGTCGTGTGAGTCAGCAAGTGAGTGCAATGCGACATGCACGCGGTGCAACAACGACCATTTGTGTTTGAGGCGTGCCAACCATCAGACCCTATGCTGCTGCTGCTCCCATGAGCAGCAGCGGGGTCAGTACGCACCTCATTGACAGAAGGCGCCACCTTGCGATGGAACTCGTGAACCAGCGGCCCCTTCACCACCCGCACTGGCACCTGCCCTCCCATCATTGGGGCAGGAAGGGGTAAATGGGAGAGCGGAAAGGTGAGAGGGGGTGGTTGCGGCGAGGATAATGTGGAAGGATGAGTGTGACAGAGGAGGGAAGGTGTGTCCTGGTATGCTAGTGAAAACAAAGATAACAAGGGATGGTAGTGACGCAGGCGCACCCCATTGCCAACAGCATCAGCATTGGCAGCAGCATCGGCAGCAGCAGCAGCAGCAGCAGAATCATCACCCACCTGCCCATCAGCGTTGTTGGCATCGACTCTCAGTGCTGGCTTCAATGGGCGGAAGAGATACGCACCACTCTGTGGGATGTGCCCATGTGATGTGAGAGAGTGGGAGGGCGTGTGTGTGTTTATGTGCATGCGCACACACGTATGAGAGAGTGAGTGTGCGTGTCAATGAAAGTGAGTGCACATGTGTGTGAGAGCAAGGGGAGGCGGGGGGGTGGGGGGGAGAAGGAGGGAGAGAGGGAGGGGGGGGGGGGGGGGGGGGGAGGGGGAGAGGCGGGGGGACGAAAAGGGAGAACGGCGCAGGACAACCAATCAGTTGCATGTGACGAAGTCAAGAACCAATCAGCAACTGCGGCTCGGCCCAGTTGTCCCCCCATCATCTCCTGCTAAAAAAGACACGGATGGACATCAAGGTGTGAGCCATGCTCTTCAAGTGCAAGCCTCTTCAAACACCGTGCCCAACCTCCCTGAGGCTTTATCAGTACGAAAATACGGCGATGTCCACTAATGAGGCGTCAGAACTGCTGCGTTAAAGCGACGGTGCACATTTGCCACCCGAAACCCTAAACCCTGGCGAACTGTTACTGCAGGGGAAAAGTGTCTGCACGAAATCCAGGTTTTCGCCAGCCAACACTTTCGCGCTGGCAAGCCTGGTTCAAAACAAAAACTTCTGAACCCCCGCCAGGCGAGTCTAGACCCTCGTTTTAATGCCGAACCTGGCAGATCCCGCAATTCCTTCCTCTGATGCCATCTGCTGCACCCAGCCTGCGTGATGGCTGAGATACGAAGGAATGGTTTCGATCCACTGCCATGCATGCATGCACACGTGCGTGCGTGCGTGTGTGCACGCGCGATGTTGCATGGACACTCACCAAGGTTTTACTATAGGCCATGAGACTGCTTGTCAGCTCCACCTCTGCTTGCTGTGATCCGAACGTAGGGGGAAGGGGTAAGGAAGGAAAGAAGGGAGAGGACGGGTGGGAGGGGTTGAGGGGAGGAACAAAGGAGGGCTGGAAGACAGGGCACTGTGAGAGGGGGCCGTAGTACAGTCCTGCATGGGGCAGGAGAGATGTGTGTGGGGGGAAACACAAGCAGAAGACTGACGACAAGCACAACCATAAGCACAGCAAAGCAAAGCACAGCACAGCACAGCACAGAAAACCACCGCACAGCACAGCACAGCACAGCACCGCATGTGCATGCACGCTACCGTTCCCTGCGCGCGGCTCACTGGCTCACCACAGCAGAGCTCCCAGCAGCAGCAGCATCGCCGCCTCGCATGAGCTCCATCTTCGCCAACCCATAGCCGCTTCTAGAGAAGCTCACTCGCGCCCACGCCTCCCCTCCCCCTCCCCCTCCTCCTCCTGCTGCCCCACCAGAAGCAGCAGGAAGCGATGGGACCGGGCCTCCAAGAACGATGCTGTCTTCTCCCTCCTGTGCCTCTGCACCGCTGCCCTGTGCTGCTGTGGTGCCCTCTTCCTCTGCACTGCCCTGTGCTGCTGCGCTGCCGTCTGGTGTGGCGGTATCGGCAGCAGAAGCGCCCTGCAGCGGCACGTTGTCGTTCCACTCACTGCTGTTGCTCGCCATGCCTGCTGCACCTGGACTTGCTCGCACACGGGGTGGTGAGAGAGGTGTAACAGAAGGGGCGACATAGCTTGAGACAGAGGGGGCAAGAGAGGTGGGGAGAGAGGGGAGGGGAGACAGAGAGGGGAACAGAGGGTTCAGCGAGAGAGAAGGGGTGGATCCAGCTGGAATGAATGGATAAAGCGCAGCACAGCACAGCACAGCGCCAACTCAACTTTCACCTACCAGCAAACCCAATATCCTACCTACCGCCATTCATTCACCCAGCATCTCAGCATTACTCTTGGCATATCCTGAGGCGGTCAGTCACCTCGCCGCCAACACCACCATTCGCCCCTCCAAGTTGCACCTGCAGACCCCCACCCGCCAAACTCCACATCACCCTCACCCTCCCACACTCCCCTCCACATCACCCTCACCCTCCGACACTCCTTCCCCACCCAAAACTCTACCACCTCCACCTTTCCCCTCCCCCACTCCCTCCCCCATTCCCCCTCCCCCTCTGGTCCTGTGCGCACCTGGCTGGGCTCAAACACCACGCTCAGCAGCGGGCCCCGCGGGGTGGGCTGCAGGCGCACGCCGGCCACTACCTGAGCTCCCCTCCCCATCACCCTCACCCTCAGACACTCCTTCCCCACCCTAAAACCTACCACCTCCACTTCCCCCTTCCCCACCCTCCTCCCCCACTCCCTCCCCCATCCCCCCTCCCCCTCTCCCTCCCCCTCCTCCCCCCCCTTCTGGTCCTGCGCGCACCTGGCTGGGCGGGGGAGAGGAAGAAGGTGGCATAGCCCAGTGGCGGCACCTGCGCCTCAAACACCACGCTCAGCAGCGGCGCTGCGGCAGAGCCGTCCGACAAGGGCCCCACCGTGGGCTGCAGGCGCGCGCCGGTGTTTGCCTGCACGTGCACGGAGCGCAGGCGCGGCGGCACCAGCCCCTCGGGTACTATCTGTGACGCCACCACTCGCCCCGCCGCATCCCGCACCTCCACCCCTGCGGAGGACACCTGGGGGTGGGGAGGGAGGGGGAAGGAGGGGGGAAGGAGGGGCGGAGATGGATGTAAGAGAAGGGGTGTGGAGTTGAAAGGATGAGCAAGTGGGAGAAGGGGTGTGATATGACACGGAGCGCAGGCGTGGCGGCACCAGCCCCTCGGGTACTATCTGAACCGCCACCACTCGCCCCGCCGCATCCCGCACCTGCACCCCTGCGGAGGACACCTGGGGGTGGGGAGGGGGAGGAAGGAGGGGGGAAGGAGGGGGAAGGAGGGGGGAAGAGAGGGGGGAGAAGGGGTTTGGAGGTGAAAGAATGAGCGAGTGGGAAATGGGGTGTGATATGACACGGAGCGCAGCGCAGTCACAGCGGCAGCACCAACCCTTGTGGCAGCACCTGTGCTGCCACCACTCGCCCTGCCGCACCCCGCACCTCCACCCTGCGGACGCCACCTGGAAGGGGGTGGGGCAGGACAGGGGGGAAGGGGGCGTGAGGCGGTGAGAGAACGAGCGCTTGGGGGGTGCGGGGTGGGGTGGGGTGGGGTGTGGCGCGTGCAGAAAGGTAGTAGCTGGGTGGATTTAGCTGGGTGTGATAGGGATTCAGCTGGATTAAGCTGGGATGTGTGAGGTGGCTTACCGGGAAGCGGATGATCTCAGAGCGAACCCATGCGAGTGGGTTGTATGCCACAACGACCTGAAGACGGGGGATAGAGAGAAGGGGGGAAGGGAAACAGGTGAGAGACAGATAGGCGAGAGAGAGACAGGAGAGAGGTGAGAGACAGATTGGCGAGAGACAGATAGGCGAGAGACAGATAGGTGAGAGACAGATAGGCGAGAGACAGATAGGCGAGAGACAGATAGGCGAGAGACAGATAGGCGAGAGACAGATTGGCGAGAGACAGAGAGGTGAGAGACAGATAGGCGAGAGACAGAGAGGTGAGAGACAGATAGGCGAGAGACAGAGAGGTGAGAGACAGGAGCAGGAGTGGGATGCATTTCCTTTTTTTTGTGTGCGTGACCAACACGCTTCTTCTCTTAAAAAGCGTGTGTGCGCTATAGGCACAAGTCTACTCTCAAACGCGTATGTGCGCAAAGCATGCGTGCTGAACTGACAGCATATTCGTTCAAAGCCCCACGTAAATGTTTGCAAAACAAACGTGTGTGCTCTTTCCGCCCTAGCCAGTCCGCCCTCTGGTCCCACTACCCACCCTCATCCCCATTCATGCTCCCTCCCTTCCTCCTCCCTCCCTCCTCATTCCCTCCTCCCTTCCCCTCCCCTTCCCCCCTGCTCCCTTAGGGCGCACCAGAGTGGAGGTGGGCGACAGCGGCTGCTGAGAGGGCGGGCAGAAGGAAATGTTTAGCAGGGGGCACTGGGACGGGGAAGGGGTGGATGGGGCAGGTGGCGGAGAGGGGGGGTACGGAGCACAGGGAAGCGGAGAAGTGGATGAGACGGGGAGATAGGCGTGAGCAGGGGAGAAGGGGAGAAGGGGAGAAGGGGGGAGCAGGGGAGAAGGGACTGAGCAGGAGAGAAGGGGCCAGGGAAGGAACGATTGTGCAGCAACAAGGGAAGAGAAGCAAGGAGATCATGTCGAAAGCAGGTGGGGAAGGGGGAGGGGCATGAAAGGGCACAAACGGCGATTGCGGCGAGCCCGTTAGGGCGTGCAGGCAGTGCAACAATATAACCCCAGGCGCAACCATGCGCGGCAAGGGAGGGGCGCAGGCAAAGTACGCAGAGAAGAAGAAGCAGCAGCAGCAGCAGCAGCAGCAGCAGCAGCAGCAGCAGCAGCAGCAGCAGCAGCAGCAGCAGCAGCAGCAGCAGCAGCAGCAGCAGCAGCAGCAGCAGCAGCAGCAGCAGCAGCAGCAGCAGCAGCAGCAGCAGGCAGGGCAACACTGAAGATGAGGGGCAACCTAGGTTAGCATAGGGAGGAGCAAAGGCAGGGCACAGTACCAGGGCAAAGTCAAGTGCAGGCATGGCAGCACTCGGGTCACTGGAGTTATTCAAGTCGCCTGAGCCGCCTGATAGCCCTCTGCCAGGCCGCCTCCTCCTTCCTTCATCCCTCCACTGCTCACCCATCCCCTCCCCCTCCGCCTTCCAGGTACGTCCCTGCCGCCCCTCTCCTCCCTCACCCATCTCAACTCCTGCATCTCCCCGCCACCCCACCCCCAGCAGCCGCCTTCCCAGCTTGCCCAAACTACCTTCCCCTCCTCCCCCGTCCCCTTCCCCTCCCCCGTCCCTTACCCCACCCTCTTCCCCTTCCTGCACCACCTCCATAGGCACCCTCTTCCTCCACGCCTCCCCTGCCCCTGCTGCGCCTTCTCCCCCCGCCCCTCCTCCCTGCTCCCCTTCCGCCCGTGCTGCTGCTAGTGCTGCTTCCCACGCCTGGTGCCTCTGGAACCACTGCGGGTCCACTCTTATACCCGCCTCCCCGCTCTGCGGGCGCTCTGGGTAGGAAATCTGGGGAGGACCCTCCGCCGCAGGCTCGGTAAATTGTTCTGGCAAGGGTCTACGGTAGGGGAAGGGCATCTCAGGCCTGGGCATGGGGTTTGAGGTTTGGCCGGTTGCTACTGCTTCGGCAGCTGCAGCTATCATTTCTGGAGTTATAGCACGAGTGCCCGCTTGTTGCTGCTGCTGCTGCTGCTGCTGCTGCTGCTGCTGCTGCTGCTGCTGTTGCCATTGCTGCTGCCGTATCATCTCTTGCTGCTGCTGCTCCTGCTGCTGTTGCTGTTGCTGTTCTTGCTGCTGTTGCTGCTGCTGCTGCTGCTGCTCCAACTCCTGCTGCTGCTGCTGCTTCCCGGCTGCGGCTGAGACGAAGGCAGTGTGCGCGCCTTTGGTGATGAGATACGCGAGAGCTGATGTGAGCACTTGAGAGGCCTGCCACGGATGGTGCGAGGGTGTAAGAGAGGCGCGGAAAACGAAGGGGGACAGCAGGAACAAGACGGATGGAGAAGGAGAGGGATATGCAGAGGGAGCGGTGGAGGAGGGAGGGATGTGGGCGGGTGTGCTGTATGCAAGGGAAAGGCTGGCTACTGTGTCCTGCCTGGACTTTGCCCTGGTACACTGGTACTGGGCACAGTCAAGTGCAGGCCATGCAAGGCCAAGTCAGGTCAAGAGTGGTGGGCGGGTGTGCTGCATGCAAGGGAAGGGCTGGTTACAGTGAATTACTTTCAGGAGGCAAGCCATTCACTGGTAGTCTGGTAAGACTCATGAATCATGTTAAGACAGAGTCCTGTTAAGACAGAATCCTGTTAAGTCAGAATCTTGTTAAGACAGAATCCTGTTAAGACAGAATCCTGTTAAGACAGAATCCTGTTAAGACAGAATCATGTTAAGTCAGAATCATGTTAAGACAGAATCATGTCACTCTGCAGAATCCCCTTTCCTGTCCCTTTCGTCATCTCATCCCCCATACCTCTCCTCTTCCACAGCCTATGCCCCCACCCCTCCTCTCATCCTCTCCTCACCTTCACCCCTCCCTCATCCTCTCCTCTCATCCTCTCCTCCCCTCCTCCCCTCATCCCCTCATCCCCTCCCCTCCGCACCTCCACAGCACTGGCATGCAGGCACAGCGAGTGGTGGTCATTCAATACATGCTTCTTAGCCATGCCAGTAATAGCATCATGGTGCAGCGTGCCGGCCAATCGCCACTGCGTCCGACGCAGTGCGTCCTCTAAGTTACTCCTTAGTCGACTAACACGCACCTCCACAGCGCCGGCATGCAGGTGCAGCAAGTAGTCATTCGACACATGCTGCTTAGCTGTGCCTGCCGGTGATGGCATCATGGTGCTGAGCAATCGCAATCGCAATAGCAATAGCAAAGCAATAGCCACGGCATCATTAAAGTGACTTCAGAGTCGACCAACACACGCACCTCCACAGCGCCAGCATGCAGGCGCAGCGCGTAGTCATTCGACACATGCTGCTTCGCCGTGCCAGTGATAGCATCATGGTGCTGAGCAATCGCCACAGCATCTTCCAGCGGTGCGGTTGACGCCACGCCCCGCACCACGCGCCGCCACCCCTCCGTCCCCGGGCACTCCTCCTCGCGGGACTCGCACTCCTCCACTCGCTGCGTTTCCAAGCGCTCCTCCTGCTCATCCCACTGCTCCAGCACCCCGCGCCCCACCAACGTCTCCGCTGCTGTGGTTGCCTGGTGGTGGGGAGGAAGAGGGGGGAAGAGGAGAGAAGCGGAGAGAGGAAGGAAGGGGGGCGCTTGGAGTTGGAAGCAAGGCATAGAGAGCGCCCCTCCTGCTCATTCCACTGCTCCCGCGCCCCACCAGCGCCTCCGCTGCTGTGGTTGCCTGGTGGTGGGTGGCGCCCCCACAGGCCGCGGGGGAAAGAGAGGGGGAGAGCAGAGGAGTAGAGGAGAGGAGTGGAGGAGAGAGGAAGGAGGGGAAGAGGGGGGGGAAGAGGTGACAGGTTGAAGCAGAGAAGGGGCGAAAGAGGAGAGGGTGGGGGAGGGAGTGGAGGAGAGGGTGGGGAGGGGTAGAGAAGAGCGGGGCCGGCTTTGGAAAGTTAGAGCAAGGCATAGAGGAGGCAGAGTCGATGCAGGCACACAGCAGACAGGCAGCAAGCAGTCAGGGGGCTCCCCTCCCCTGCGAGCAGTGAAGGGCGAGGAAGGGGTACTGAGTGAGTGAAGCAGCTGATTCAGGCCCCACCAAGTCACATACATGGCCAAGCAAGGGGGAAGAGGGATAGATGGGGAGCAGGGGAGGGGTATGAAGTGATGGGCTCAGGGCAATGGGAAGGCGGAGAGGTGGAGGGTAGGGCGAGGGGAGGGAGAGCTTACGAGGAGGAGGGAGCTGCAGACGCGAGCCATGTACTTGAAGGAAGGGCGGCTGGAGAAGTAACCCGACCAGTAGGCCCCCTCGTGCTCATCGTAGCTGCATGTGTGTGGTGCGTGCATGGGACGGGAGAGGTAAGGGGAGGGAGGGTGGAGACAGGTAGGAGGAGTTATGAGACGTCTCGAAAGTAGGGCGCATGCATGGGAGAGGTGGGGGAAAGGAGGGTGGAGACGGGTAGGAGGAGATTACGTGATGCTCGGTGCTAGGGGACACAATACAGGCAGGGGAGGGCAGGTGGAGTGGACTGAAACGAGGCAAAGCGGTTGTGGCAGTTAGTTGACTGATGATTGAGTGGGTTAGTGAGTGAGTGAGTGAGTGAGTGAGTGAGGGACGCTGGGTGTGTGCTGTGTTGTCTACGACTGCGGGGAGGTCTGAGCAGGGTAGCACAGAAAGGGCAAGTGAGCGAGGGGGCGAGAATGAGCTGTGCGCTACGTAATGGAAAGCGGGACGAAGGACGTACATGTACATGCACGTGTATGTGTACGCCTTGGAATCATTTTGAAAGGCACATTTTGAGGCGCCTCAAAAAGCAGGCCGAAGGACATACATGCACTGCACATGATGATGATGATGATCCCACCATGTGAATGTGCCTTTCAAGGCGTATGTATACGTCCAAGGCGTATCATATGTACGTCTAAAAAACACATTCACATGATAGGATCATCATCAGCATCATGTGCATCATCAGCATCATGTGCATCATCAGCATCATGTGCATCATCAGCATCATGTGCATCATCAGCATCATGTGCATCATCAGCATCATGTGCATCATCAGCATCATGTGCATCATCAGCATCATGTGCATCATCAGCATCATGTGCATCATCAGCATCATGTGCATCATCAGCATCATGTGCATCATCAGCATCATGTGCATCATCAGCATCATGTGCATCATCAGCATCATGTGCATCATCAGCATCATGTGCATCATCAGCATCATGTGCATCATCAGCATCATGTGCATCATCAGCATCATGTGCATCATCAGCATCATGTGCATCATCAGCATCATGTGCATCATCAGCATCATGTGCATCATCAGCATCATGTGCATCATCAGCATCATGTGCATCATCAGCATCATGTGCATCATCAGCATCATGTGCATCATCAGCATCATGTGCATCATCAGCATCATGTGCATCATCAGCATCATGTGCATCATCAGCATCATGTGCATCATCAGCATCATGTGGCACGTGTGGAGTCAGAGCCCTTTTCACTCAACCCGCCTCAGCTACACAGCAACTTTTGAGGCACCTCAAAAAAATCAACCCGTCTCAGCTACGCAGCGGCACCAGAAGTACACCTGGTGGCGTTCGATTTGACGTCAATTATGAGGAGCACCAGTTCCGCGTAATTTTTACTCAGCGTTATTTAAACAGGCAGGCTTTCGAGGCGCCTCAAAAGTCGTCTGATGGCCTTCGATTTGACGTCAATTATGAAGAGCACCAGTTCCGCGTAAATTTTACTCAGCTTGATTCTAACAAGCAGGCAGACAGGCAGGCAGGGAATAGGGGCAGAGAGGCAGAAAGGCGAGTGGGGAGGGGAGAGGGGGGGGCACGCACGGGAACATGTCTCCTGTTCTGGTGGGCCAGGACTCGTTGGCACGGTGCTTGGCGTCCACATACATGGCTGGGGAGGAGTAGAGCGCATTCACTCTCCCGTCCTGTGCTCACCATGCA